GACTGACTGACTGACTGACTGACTGACTGACTGACTGACTGACTGACTGAATGACTGACTGACTGACTGACTGACTGATAAATCTTGTCTTTCATGAAGATAAATATTACCGGATATATAAGCTCATAGTTGGCCATGCCGACCCTTCCAAATATCACAATCTGCTTCTAGTCAGTGTAAAATTTTTTTGTAAACAAGGCTTGCCGCAGGCAAGTTGAATCTGATTTCTGTCATAAATAAAATCTCTTTTACTTACCATCAGTCGAAAACACACCACAGCCAACCGGACCTCATGCACAATTTCGAAACGACCATCCGCACGCATCCACGATTCGAACTGGTGTGCCAAATTGATATGCTAAAGCAGGAAATAAAAAGGAATTATTAGCACGCGCAGTCCGAATTCCAAAACCGGATGCCAACTTACATTGCGAATATAGTTGCGTAGCGATTCAACACCGAACCGTCTAAGAATGAACCACAATTTGAGGGAACGAAATTTCCGTCCAAGTGGGATGTGCCAATGCTATTGGACGGGGAAACGGGGTGTGAGGGATCGGAAACGTGGGAGCAAAAATCATGGAGAGTAGCAAGTCAACTTCACGATCTACTTCGCCAAGGACAAAAAATGGCCTCATCCCCGCAAAATTTCATAAAACAAAAACGGCTAATTTAACTTGCACTCATTTGGTGAACACTATGCACTCGGAAACGGGTGAATGATACGGGCGCTGTTTTTTATGGCTTCACAATACTATTATACCTTTTCAATTTCAAGTGAATCCATTGTAACTTCAACTGCATTTTATCAGCAAATCGTTGAACCACTCGGTCAAGTCTGTCCGTTGTGCTTCTCTCGACTACTCGCCTACGTTTGATTCTCTTTATAGATCATCCCTCCCTTTCAAACTTGAACCATTTGGCATTCCAAAGCAGCTACTCTCATGGCTTCCTGACTATTTCACAGAGATGTTCCAGTGAACCGAATTAGAAACGAGGACATCAAAACCTCTCGTTTATAATTCTGGTGTTCTTCAAGGTGCTGTTCTATATCCATATCGTTTTTCTCCCTTGATCAGTGATCTTTCGGTCTCAACCCCTGCGCACATCCAAAAGTCTGTTGATAACGTTGTCTTGTCTCAGACATTTTCATCTCCTTCGGAAT